GATCGATCAGCTATCTGAATCTGAATGATTCACCTAAAAAAAAAGGGTAAAATATATAATTAATTGAGTTTTTTTAATTTGTGTTCTAAAAATATAATTAATATATATTTTGTATATTAATTAATATTAAAAACAATAAAATTTGATATTAATTTTCTTACTTATATCACGTGAATTGTTTTAGTTAAATAATTTATTAAATAAAAATTAATTTTTATTTTTTGAATAATAGTTTATATTAAAAAGATGTTCTCATAATACAAGTTTTGAGAAAGCATAATGATGTTTGTATTGTTGAACACGTCAAAATGTTATTGCTCTACTCATTTAAGCATGACACCTTCTAGATTGTGGAACCCGTCTGCCCAAAAAATCCAATTTTGCTTAGAAAACATCCCCATGGCGTATCTGGTTCGAGAAAAGACGAAAAGAGGTCAGGTAAAGGGATGAATTTTTTTTTTTTTTATTTGGATAACAAGAGTTGAAAAGAAGAAGAGAGGAGAAAAACTTTTCTTTAATTTTCTTTATAATTTCACTATATGATTAGTGTTTATTTGCCTTACTTTTCAAGAATTAAGAAAAAAAAGATAAAAAAAATATCTTAATTTATATTTTTAATTCATGTTTTAAAAATATAATATTTTAATATTTTTCATTAAATTTTTATTAAAATAACATAATTTTGAAATAATATTTTTTATAATCTTTAGGAGATAAAATAGATAAACACTATTTTGTTTTATTATAACCAAATAAGAGAAAGAACATCACTTTTTTTTTCTATTTTTTAAAACCAAATGGAGAATGAAAATATGCTAGTTTTGACTAATTTAATAAGTTTATTGTTTTTCTTAAACATATTGTTATAATGTGTGAAAAAATATTTTTGTAAATTAATTTCAAATAACTAAATAATAAATATTAATTATTTTATTAAATATCAGTTGTTATTAATAGTAAAATCCAATATGGTGTCTTAATGAACAATCCACTCTTTTTGGTGCTCACAATTTGGCACTCAATGAGGATTTTTTTTTTTTTTAATGTTCGACACTCAATGAATTTTCATTTTTCTAACTTAAAATTATATATAATTCACATGAATAATGATTATTATATTTTTTGATTTAATAAACCTATCAACATTTATTAGTTTAACCATTAAATTTTGTTAATAAAGTTTTTTATCTTAAATTTAAATTTAAAAATAATAATTTTTTAATAAATATAGTATAATATATGTTAAATAAAAAAAGTACACTACTCATTCTCTTAATCCTCACGTTTCATTTTAATAATTTACTAACATAACTTGTGTGGATTCAACAAAAGGAGGGTCTGCTTTAATCTTCTTGTTTTGTTTTTATTTAAACTAAACTATTGCGATGAAGGGACTAAAAGGAGGGGATGAAATGAAATGAAATATGATTATGTAGTGGGGATGTCAGATGACGATGAAAATGGAGAAACGTGTGGAGAAAATGCAAAGAAATATGTAATAGGTAGCAAAAACGAAACAAAACAATGCCTTGCAAGTATGAAAACAACATTTTGAGTTGGAAAAAATCCCTATGTAGCTAACGCATCAAGTAGTCACCTACTCGGGTACCATATAATACTAATACTTTAAGCTAAAAGATAGAAAAAAAATTTTAAAACGCGTGGAGAAACCATAATCTACCTTTACAATTATCATGTCGGCTATACTCTAAAATAATTATTTGATAAATTGGTCCACTAATAATAGCATACCCAACTTAAGAGAAGAAGGTTACAAGTATTTTCATCTAGTTTGGGTTTTAATAGTTGAAAATTACTATCAACGATTTAAGTAATTTAGTAGTTATCTTTTTTCATTAAAAATAAAAAATTCTGAATTCGAGTCGCTTGACATGTGAATAAGATAAGATAAAGGATGAGAGATGTTTACCTCTTATTGTGCAACCAAAATAAAAAAATAAAAAATAATTGCAAGTTACAGGCCTAAGAAATAGAGAAACTATGTATATATATATTAGACTCTACATTTCAATATCTTCTAGTTCCACATAGAGATGGTACAAAAATTTTGCTCTAAAACTAAGACCTAAAGTGTTGGGACGTCTATGTTAACCATTATGTTGAGATTTTAGTTACACTGATTAAATTCTTGGAGTATCTAATTCGGAAAAATCAGAACCCATTTCATTAATGAATATTGTAGATTGAGGAAATGTTTAATATAGTGGTTTGAGATTAATAATTAGTGATTTTGTTTAATTTAATAATTAATAATTAATATTAATAATTTAAATATTTTTATTTATTAGATTAAATAAAATTATTAATCATTAATTTGAAATTATTATATTAAATACCTCTTAAAAATGAAAGCAGATACTGATGGAGTTCTGGTGTTAAAGTGGTATTGGGTCAATTAATTTATGAATCAACACGAACTTTAAATACACTTAAAAAAATATTTTTTTAATATATCATGTTAAAAGAAATATTATTAAATCATTTTAAAAAGTTAATTTTATCAATTATCTAAATAATTTAATAATTATTTTTTTTACTAAAAATAAAAAATTTTAAATTTAAATAAAATGATATGTTAATTGAATAATATAAACAATACGAGCTGATTGACTCCTATTATATAATTAAAATATAAAAATAATAATTTTAAAATATATAAAAATTAATTAAAAATATTTTAACAATTATTATTATTATTATTTTTAAAAGGGACTCTTGAAAATTCTGGCTCGTGACTTTTATGAGACCGAGTCAGCATGATACTTGATTTAACAATCCAAAACGAAGTTCCCATTAATTTCCCACTACTTTCCCACTAACTTTTATAACTACTCACGGAAAAGAAAAGATAAGACTGACTTACAGAATCAAAGAAAGGGACATCTGTTTTTGTCTTTTTGTGACTCCCAAAATCTCAAGTAATCAGGGAGGTCATCAAAGGAGCGTCCGGTCATGTGCGAGCCACGTTTTTGCTGAATGACCAAAAAAAAAAAAAAACACATCTAGATCCGTTAATTAGTTTCTGTGGAAGGTGGGAGGTGGACGGTGGACGGTGGACGGTGGACGGTGGGCGGTGGGAGGGGATTTTGAAGTTTGAACTCACCTGTTAAACAAACCAACTGTGCCTTTTGGGGTTTGTCTAAAGCTATATATTTTTCTTTCGGTTGCAAGTCTAAAGTTATATGCTATGCGGTCCTGAGAGTGCGCCCAAATGGATGAGGACAATTAGAAAGGTACCTTTTCCCTTTCCCTTTCCCATTAAATCAAAATGACATTCTTGTGTCGATCCACCTTAACGACTAAGTGGTAATTTTTTTTTTTTTTGTGAAAATTTTATGTTATTTAAATGAATTAAAAAAATTAAAATAGTGTTTTTTTTATTATTTTTTAAACATGATTAATTCGAGGTAAGAGGGAAAAAAAAGGAAAAAGGTGAGGATTGAACTCCGCGTCTTTAGGTGAATAGCTTTTTTTTTTTCCAATTTTTCATTTGGTATCCAGGACTTCGTCTCAATTAATTTAGATCGACCCGTGTCGTGCACCTGAAAATGATAGATAAGTCTCTCAACGAAAGCTGCTATGTACGCACGACCTCGAACTCAAGATTTTACTTAAACTGAAACAAACCACTTATCACTTGATTCAACCTCTCGTTTGTAGGTGAATAGCTCCTTAACGATGTTGAGGTGGTCAATTGGATCACCTTAGGCTTCTCAAAATAGTGTTCTATTACATGATAACCCATAGTGGAAACTTGTGATTGAATTTAAATGTAGTTAAAAAGAAAAAAATTACGAGGGACCTACGTCACCCTTATTCAGCCGGGGATGAAATGAAACCCACACAGCATATCACTGATTTTTTTTTTTCGGGTGTAATTAGTAAACATTTTTGGTAATATAAAAATTAAAATTAATTTTATCACAATGTTATATGAATTATTTTAATCAAATAATTAGTTAAATAATTAAGTTTTATTTTTTAAATATCAATTAATGTAAAAAATGTGTATTAATTACATCTTAACAAATAAAAATGAAAAAAACCCTTCTTAAAAAAATTATTCACTCAATATCCAAGAAGGAATAGTTTTTCCTCTTTAAAAATCTCTACTTGTGTATTTTAAAATTTGATTATAAGACTTTCAA